GGGGACCAAAAGTATAATTTAGCAAAGTAATAACTTACTCTCTAAATTATATATTTTAATTTATGATATGAGATAATATATTTCTATTTGCATACTTTCTTTATTTGGACGACGAATTTTAGAAATTTAAAAAATTTAAATTTTTTTGGAATATAAGTTAATTTTATTTTAAATTTTATCATTTTTTAAATGTTTTATTTGGATAAGTCAATCTAATTTTCTTAAATTTTAATTTCTTAGTTTGGATATGATAATTTAATTTTCATCAGGTGTAAAATTGATTTTAAATATATACATACATACATGAATTGAGATTTTAAGATTAAATTTTATAAAAATAAATATTAGCTAATTTTTAAACAGTTAATAGTTTTAAAAATTAATGTTAAATAATATTTAATTATATATTTTTTTAAAATATTTAATAATTAAGATATAGGAGAGAGATATAAAAGATATACATGAAAGATAAGAAATAAAAAGTATGAAAAATTTTAAATTCTTACCTTTTTGAAAAAAAATTGAAATTAAACTATTTTAAGAAATTTCACAAATGTTTGAATTTCAATATTTTTGTAAATTTTTCATCCAAGCAAAACATTTCTTCCCAAAATATTTGAAATTCTTAAAAGAAAAATGAATTACTTCATTTATATATGCTCCATATATAAATCCACTCTAATATGATTTTATTTTTTGGGTTTCAAGTCTAAGTTTTAAATCTTTCTAGTAAATTATTTGTGTGGTCGAAGTTTCAAGTTTTTAAACCAAAAAAAAAATTAAAATTATAAAAATATGAACTAATTTTAATTTTTAAATTTTCAAAACTTAAAGCAATTAATAACTAAGCAAAACAAGTTTTGAGAAATTAATTTGATATATGCACTAATTAAAGTGAAGACTCCTTCAATTATATTATTTTTATACATTTGAATTTTAGAATTAAATTTAGTGTGAGTTTGATTTTTTTAAAAAAAATATGATACTTAACAAAACATACATATATATATATATATATATATATATATATATATAATTATCACATATTTGATTTTAAAATAAGATCGCGGAACAAAATAAATCTAAAGGGGATAAACAAGATAAAATATTTGAAAGATAAAAAAATATTTGTATTTATTTTTTATTTAATAATTATTATTATTTTCATTACTTTTGTCATCTTACCATAGTCGCTACTTTCGTCTTTATTACTATTGACCATCATCATCAATATTATTGTAGTTGTCATTATCATCATCATTGTCATTATTAATAACAGTATGTCTTTTCATTGACGCTGTGACCACCATTGTTATCGGTGTAGACAATGTTGTCACCACTACCAAACACCATCACTAATGTCATCATTATTGCAATTACCTTCACTATTGTTTTATTAAAATAGTTAATTTGAATTATATTAAGATAATTAATATTAAGAAGGATAATGTAGTAAATGTTACATATTTTGCTCGTGTTGTCCATTGTTTGCCTGCATGATAAAATGTTTTTTTTACATAACTTAAGCCTTTTTTATCCTTCCTTAATTTTACTTGTTTAATGATAATTGTCAAACATTTATGCATTTTTTTATTCAATTTAGGCACTTATTGATATATCATATGCTTCTAAATGTTGTTTTTGTCACAAAACATTTGGTCAAGAGTTAATTTTATTTTAGGATTTAATTATTTAAATATTAGATATTTTTAAATTTTTTTGTTTTGAGATGTGACGTAAGGAGAATAAAATTTGAAAGTTACAAATCTCAAAAGGAAATTATCGTCCCAAGTTACAAAGACGTGCTTTGAGTGGACAAATTCGCTTAAAGTGTTCAACAACTCGCTCTGAATGAGTCAAGTTAGAGAGCATTCCTTGGAGATGGAGTTAGCTCGCTTAAAGCAATAAGAACGTTGTTTGCTCTAAATAAGTGAAATTCGCTTAAGATGAGCGCTTTAAACGAGTCAAGTCAGAGATTATCTTTGGAGGATCAAATAGGTTCACTCAAAGCGACCTAATTGGGTACTCACTCGGAGCATATTTGACCTAAAAGCTCACTAGAAAATATTGGAAAAATAGGGTCTTTAGGAGGTTTCTATATCAATATTTTTTCAAGCACAATGTTAGAGAGAATTCTTATACAAATATTCTTATAATCACAGGTTGATCAAAGATCATCTTCTCTTTGTGTAATCTTTAGTCATTAGTGACTAAGTTCTTTATTGTTAGAGATTGGTGTAGTTGATGTACTCATGTAATCTTATTTGTTCTCATTCAATATATTACTTTTTCTATTAATTAGTTAATCGTTTTTACTTTATACTTAATGTTTGTTTTGGCCAATGCATGATTTTATAATTTTAACTGAGGTTGAAAAACTCTTTTAGAATTAAAATACAGGTAAAATGTTGATAACACTTATTTTTCAGGTATAAAGATAAGTCTTATCGATCAATTTTTAAGCCTTTGATCTTAATGTTAGTTGCTTAACAAAAATTACCAAAAAATTGAGATTATCTTTAAACAACCTAAAATTTTTCTCTTAAGGAATTAAGGTTTAAATATTGAGAACTATTAAATTAATTATATAATTTCTAATATCGAATGAAAATTGAGACAAATTTACATGGGAAAAGTTAGTGAAATCAATATCTGACTATTCTTATTATTATATAAATTCAAATTCTTTATTACTCTATTACATGTTTTTTAATTCTATATTTTTATAAATACCTTATATTTTATGTCAAACAATTTTAAATTTCTTTAATCATTTGTTTAATACCAAAAATTATATTAAATAATTATAATTCAAGTTGTTGTGAATTTAATAACTTGAACTTTTATTCAATTTACTATGACATTTAATATACTTATCAAATACATATCATTTAACTAGTGGTTATGAGTTTGGGATTTGAATAAACAATTATCTTATTGAATACTTTAAAAAAAATGTCATCTATAATAATCCTAAAAAAAAAGATTATTTGTGAATGATTTATGTATTTTATACCAAAATATCATATATATTTTTTTAAAAAAAGCATTATTGTTTTCACTCAAATTCACATATATAAGCTGGTTAGTGCTTGTATTGCATATATGTATATGTTATTTAAGGAGCACTACAGATAATTCGTTGGCCATAGATAATTTAAACAATCATTTACATACTTTAAATAAGCATCTAAATATATATTTAGATTTTAAGAAGCGGAAAGGCACATGTAATACATTAGTTGTGTAAAAAAGAGATAACTAAAAGTACTTAGGATTCCACCAATTAAAGTCGTACAAGCTGGTATGGTACATGCATGATATATAAAGTTTATTCATCCTATCATCATCTACTCACATAGCCACCAAATCCTACACACTGCGCAGCACGATAATGGTGGATATACGAGGGACTTTTTAGAGTGCTGATAAACACAACTCATGGGATGAAACATCTTGTGGTGGAGGAGTCCGTATAATTCCTTAATTGGCACAGAAATGATTAGACATACACGTCTCACTATAAGGGTAGAATAAATACTTTCAGGACCACCTTTATATATATATATATATATATATATATATATA